CTAATTACTAACTACTAACTACTAACTACTAACTACTAACCACTAACCACTAGCCACTAACCAATAACCACCAACCACTACTAACTACTAACTACTAACTACTAACTACTAACTACTAACTACTAACTACTAACTACCAACTACTAACTACTAACTTCTAACGACTCACTTGCTTTCTAGTTTGTGGCAAGTGTCCACGGCTGACTGTGGGCCAGCGTAGCTCGTAGAGTTGTAGGCCTGCGGCTGGTCACAGCGCGGCCCTTCCTAGGGACTGGGTAGCTGAATCTAGCGAAGCCAGCAAAACAGTGGCTGTCCGTGATTGTTTTTGCAAGTCCGATATAGCCGACTTCACAATTGGGGGCTATGTTCTGGGAAATCGCTCCCCCAGGTCCCATGCGGCGCGAGCCTGGTGCAGTCCAGAGCTCACCTTCAGCCGAGGCTACAGGATCTCTACATCACCGCTTGGGTGGTCAGAGAAGTGTCAGTTGTGATGGGGCACAATAGCGCGGCTGTGGGGCCAGCGCGAGGGAAGGCGACCTTTGCTTGGGCTACAGATCCCAATAAATGGCCGGCGGCATTTGGGCGGTGTGCGAATGGTTATGGAAGGCGAGCGGCCAAGAGCTGGCGCTCGCGACCCTGCCTTTGAATGCCTTCCCTGCATGGGCCGAGTCGAGGGTTGGGTTGATAGCGAAGGTGCGACCTGCTTGGCGCACCGCATGTCTCTCAGGAGGCAAGACGTCCTTGTGACGTTCACTTGCCTCGGTGAAGGTGACCAGCGCTGGACCGAGTGCCCGGTGAGACTCACAAAGTCGCGGTGGATGAGATGTGACGCGCGAGAACACTTGCCTTTGTGGGCAAGGCGCGCCGGGGTCAGCGCGTCGTGCTGGAGTTGCTCACTCAGCACATGGTCATCACCAAGTGGGACCGCAGGTCGACCCGAAGTGTTTCTTTTTTCCTATACGGAGGTCAATGCGGACGAGATTCGTCGCGAGCAGCTTGCAGTCCAAGCACGTGAAGCAGCTGGTATCTCGGAATTCCGCGTTACGGGTTCTATCCGCACTGCCTGGTATGACGCGCAGCGGAGCGATCCCTCGCCAGCGGGATCTTTAGGCCTCCTGGAGAGGGACGTGATCCTTAGGACGGGTCAAACCGTTACTGTTCCTGTGGTGCCAAATGGCATGGCCGGTGCTACGGTGCTTTCTCACGTGCTTCGACTGCCTCAGCCACACTGTCCTGCTGGAGCCGATGCGTTGCCTCACGCACTCGGAGGTTCGGGCGTTTGTTCGCTGCGTGCTCGCAGCCGTACGATGCCTAGCCTCAGTGCGGTCCGATCGCGGCGCCGAGTTAAGAACGCCTTGATGGCGGAGCTCGAGCGGAGTGGCGCTCAGCGCGCCCCTCCCTCCGTGGTCGGGGTCGGGGTCTGCACGGACCGCGTCGTCCTGGAGAGGATCGATGGCCCGTCCGGACTCGAGGCAGTGGCCATGCGCGGTGGGATCAGAGGACGACTCCGACGACAGTGCGGAGGCTAACCGGTTTGCCCACCAGCGTTCGAAACGCGGTGGCAGGAAGTGCCGGGGCCACGAAGGCCGAGCCTCCGACCGCGAGCGTGACCATGCCGTGAATCCATAGTTTGTGCCAAGTGTGCACGGCTGACTGTGGGCCAATGTAGCTCGTGGAGTTGCAGGCTTGCGGCTGGTCTCAGCGCGGCTCTTCCTCGGGACTGGGTGAGAGCTGAAGCTGAATCTAGCGAAGCCAGCGAAACAGCGGCTGTCCGTGATTGCTTTTGCAAGTTCGGTATAGCCGGCTTCACATACTACTACTACCACTACCACTACCACTACGGCTACTACAGCTACTACTACTACTACTACAACTACTACTACGACTACTACTACTACTACTACTACTACTACTACTAGTACTACTACGAGTACGACTACTACTACTACTACTACTACTACTACGACTACGACGACTACTACTACTACTACTAGTACTACTACTACTACTACTACCGCTACTACCATTACTAGTACTAGTACACTACTACTACTACTGCTGCTGCTGCTGCTGCTGCTGCTGCTGTTGCTACTGCTACTGCCACTGCTACTGCTACTGCTACTGCCACTGCCACTGCTGCTGCTGCTGCTACATGCTGCTACTGCGAATGGTATCGCTACTGCAGCTACTACTACTACTACTACTACTACTACTACTACTCTGCTACTACTACTACTACTACTACTACTATTACGACGACTACTACTACCACTACTATTAGGCTACGACTACGACTACTGTTGTTGCAGCTGCTTCTGCTGTCGTTGTTGCTTTTGTTGAAACCGAATTTGTTGCCGGGTTGTTTGTCGTCAGCATTAAGGATGCAAGTTGTTAAGAGCTTCGAGGGAGCCATGGGAGCCTCAATGCCGGCTGAAACTCGTAAGCAATCCTCGAGTTTGTTCAGCCATAAGTTGTCTGACCATGAAATTTGCCGTGCAGGTCCCAGTTTGGGTGCTATGTCGCGAAGTCACTCCTGCATGACGACCGGGTGGATGCACGGGAAGCGATGTCCAGGATTCAGGCTTTGGGGCTTTCAAAGTTTTGTGTGCAAGCAACAAATTATCTAGCCGAGCTATTTCGGCTTTGACAGGCCGCACCGCAGTGTTTGCATTCCATGCATGCGAGCCCTCTGCTTTAGGAGTCCCTTCTATGCCGTTTCGGTCATCTTGCGCATTTTCACTTTTTAACCCATGTTCAGAGCAAATAAATAGCTCAAGAAGCACAGCGGAGCTGGCTGTGCTGTGTCAGGCCTCCTCGATCGACCTCCAGAGGTCGCGTCACGGGCACCGTTTGTTGGTTGAGATGGGCTTGGCAGACGACCCCACTTGTTGAGGCTCGCTGCGTAGCTGCGAAAGGCGAAGGGGTGGTCAAAAGCAGATTCAATATGTTTCGGGCCCTTGCAGATCAGCTGCTGTGACTGCCTTTGACGCGGTCGCCCAAAGAGAGCTCGGCATGCAGCACTTCTTATGCTTTTTGGCAAAGCAAGATACTACATGCTGAAAATGGCCCGTCCTTTGAAGTCGTGCATGGCGAATTCGGTTGCATTTTTCTTTGGTTCGAGAATTTGGCGGAGAAGCACAGAATGTTTCAATGCCACCACAGAGGAACCCAGCGGCAGATGCTACTTTTGATGAGTTTGGCGCAGTTGATGATCAGGACAATTCGTTCTATGCCCCGATCCAATCAGATGAGGGAGTAGCTTCAAAGCCCGAAGCCATGAAACCCTAACTGTTTTTTTTGCTTTTCTGGATGTAGGGAAATCACAGCACTCCCATGGGCCGCCCCCAAGGGTGCTGTAGAGGCCCTCTGAGGATAATGTGGCGAGAACATCTCCGCTCACATCATTTGCCGATGGCTCCTCCTGCCCAAACCGCCCAAGTGGTTAGACGAGGCGTTTTGTCAACAGAGTCGAATGATAAGAGTGGTTCACATAAACTTAAGTTCTTTGCTTAGCGTATTGAGCGACCGGCAAAACACTGACCTGTCCGATGAAGATGCCCCAGTTGCTTGCTTTGGAAGTGCATTTCATTCACTGGCAGTTTAGGCAAGGAGGTCCATCACTTGCGCAGAGCTGTCATGCTTGTGGGAGCTGGCGGCATTGTACAGAGCAAGCTTTGATGTGTTGTTGAGCTGGCCGGCGATGGGCAACGAAGTGTATGATGTGAATGACATGAAATGTCTGCACTGTGTTTGTCTTTTGCTTGCAAGCTTTACCCGGTTATACCTGTGGCCACACAGCTCAAGTGATTTGAGGATGTCCGGCGCGCTTTGATCGCAGTCATGACGGTGGCAGAGGAAGAACCGCGTCACCCACCAAACTGGCACGGACATCCCACCTGTGGAAAGAGCTGCACAGGTTGGGGATGCAGTTTGCGTGTGATTAGCAAAACATGTAGAGGCCAGGGCATTGCAGGAGACATCTCCACTCCGAACCTCAACTTAGTGAGGCAAGTTTCCTGTTTGTTACAACTTTTTGCCATTCTGCGAAAACGCGGAGACAAGATCTGCGAACCTTTGCCAAGTTTTTGTGATTGTGTTCGGCAATCTGTTTTGATTCCTTCACCTGTGACTGGGTCTTTGATCAAAGGCTTTGTCTTCCTATGGGGGGAGGTTTTGCTTCAGCGTGGAGGATGCCAACATGTTGTTCTGAGGGCCCACGAAGGCTGGACGCCCAGTAGCTCTTTTGAACACCGAGGTTTTCAGTCGCCTGAAGCCTCCTCGGTCTTAGGGGCAGAATGTCGGGTTCGACGAACCCATCTTGGCAGAAAAGCGTCAACTGCAAGCCTGCCCCGGATCTCCGATCTGAGATGCCTGGGTGGGGGTCAGACCTCAGCTTCGAGCTTTGAACTTTGGGTTTATAGCTGTGAGGCGGCATCCATCGTGTTGGGCAACGTTTGCCCCGTTGCTGCTCTGGCTCAACCAACAGTACGCTTGGTTTTCCAGCAAAGCTCCCACATGGGTTCTTGCCTCGGCTGGAGGGATTCGTTGTGCGCGACAGCATTCGAGGTGCTTCTTTGTGGGTGTTGCTCTTCGTAGGTCCGCAAGGTTTTCGTCAGGGATGCGGATCGTCACTCGCCCTTCGGGAGGGCACGCTGCGCCTTTGTTTTGTGCATGTCTCCATGTTTGCACTATGTGTATGTAGTACAGACACGGGTTTATCCAGATAGCAACTCCTTGACCATCAATTCAGCAGCAGTCTTCTGGCTCAGCTGCGACTGGAAGAAGCAATCTTACATGATAACTTACATGAGTACATTCCGTGGTGCTCCTTTGTGTTTCATTGCATGATGTTATCGTGAGTTAAAGTGCATCACGCAGCATTATGCTCGTTTGTTACAGGCCGGTGACTTATATGATGAAATCTTTATCGCATGCCTGTGCCCTGTTACAATGCATCTTGAGTGACAAATCACGAGCCGATTATTTTGCAACCTATTTCTTTTGCAGTAAAGCCGTGCCATGTTGCATGCTACTGGCATTTATGTGTGGTTGAATCGGTTGAATGCATTAGAAGCCCTTCTGTGTGGCCAACTACTTGGCACAACATGTCATAGATCATTTTACACCAAACACTGTACGCGGCAGTCCGTTTACTACGTGCGACAATCGTTTGTGTCAGTCTTCTGTGCTTTCGTCACACTGTGCAATGTGAGCTTTGCGTCTTTCGTGCAAATCGGTCCTGGAGCCTCGGAGGCCGGGAAGCAGACAAGGTTGTGCCGGCTGAGCGGCACTACCGGCCCGGAAGCTCGGACATCGGCTGGAAGGTAGTTTGCACACGCTTGTACTACCATTTCAGCCACGGAAGAGTATGAAAGGCGAGAGCTCGGAGTCTGATCAAAAGAGGATCTCTTCTCTTCCCAGCGATGGCTGTCAGGTTGCAGAAAGCAGTAGCAGTACGTCATCCTCCCAGCTCCCAGGTATCGAGATGGAAGAGGAACAGGAGGAAGAGCTCCCGTACGATGATCCCGGGCAGCAGGCAATGCCCCCAATTGTAGGCAACCAAAGACCCCGAGCCTCGTCCCACACAGAACCTGCCCGGAGCCTGCCTGCGCGGAACCTTGCCCCAATCTGCCTCAAAACTTATTTCGGCTGAAGACCATCAAGCAGTATATCCGACACATCGCTCAAACCCTGGAGCTGGGTGAAGACTGTTGGTTTGTTGGCTCTAGGACCGAAATTTTCTGAGACTCTACACACTGGGCCCCAACCGAAATCTGCCAGCTGCGACGTAGCTGCATGTTGCATGCCTCGGCACAGGTTGCGACTGCCGGTCCAGGATTCGTTTCGGCATTGGCAGATGCCCGGCACCACAGAGGGTTTTGCCGGAGCGCTAAGCTCCGGATTAGCGGCATTGTCGCTGCGCTTGTAATTTTAAGATACGCCGACGGCGGCAAGTATTTCTTCTGTTTCTTGTTAATCGACAGCAATTATCACTAGTAGTAAAAGTCAGCAGCGCAGCCGCTTGTGCAGTATCTGGAGGAGATGGACGAGGAGTAATAGTTGTGTTCGTAGCGGTAGCACTAGCAGTGGCAGTCGCTTTAGCAGTCGCACTAGTAGTAGTAGTGAAGAAGAAGTAGAAGTAGCTGTAGTAGTCGTCGTAGTTTGCAGTAGCAGCAGCAGCAGCAGCAGCGGCAGCAGCAGCAGCAGCAGCAGCAGCAGCAGCAGCAGCGGCAGTGGCAGTGGCAGTAGCAGTAGCAGTAGCAGTAGCAGTAGCAGCAGCAGTAGCAGTAGCGGTAGTAGTAGTCGTCGTCGTCGTAGTAGTCCTCGTCGTCGTCGTCGTAGTAGTAGTAGTGGTAGTGGTAGCGGTAGTGGTAGTAGTAGTAGCAGTAGTAGAAGTAGCAGTAGTAGTAGTAGTAGTAGTAGTAGTAGTAGTACTAGTAGTGGTACTTGTAGTGGTAGTAGTAGTAGTAGTAGTAGTAGTAGTAGTAGTAGTACTAGTAGTGGTACTTGT